GAGCGGCCGGCTGCCGTCCACAACGTGGCTCCTCCGTCCGCCGGTGTGGGGGCTTCTCGTTGGGGCGGCTCTGCCACCCAGGGCGTGCTCGACGTCTGAGGACGTTTCTGGTTGTTCAGATGGCCGCTGAGGGCGTGGCGCGGGGATGGTGCCCCTCCCAGAGGGGACCCAGCCCGGGTGTCCACCGTGCTGGTACCGAAACGCCCTGGCCCGGGAGGGAAGGGGCTTCCAGGCAGAGGGTGGCCTGTGTACACAGGCCCGGGGACAGGGTTTTGGTCCGTGAGGCAACTGAAGTAGTTCCAAGCACTTGCAGGGGTGGCAGGATAGAGTCAGGAGAGGACAGGGACAGCCCGGCAGCCTCGCTGCGGCATCTGAAGCCCTCTGAGGCTGACGGCTTCCCTGGCGAAGATGGCGCTGGGGGGGGTGGCCCAGGCAGCCTGGGGAGACTGCGTAGGTTCCGTGAGTCCTGGCTTGTCCTGACCCACCGGGCAGCGTCAGGCGAGCGCCGGCCAGGTCCGGGCATCCCCACGGTCCCTGGCTCACAGCCCTGCCCCACAGGCAGCAGAAAGCCTACATCGCGACACAGGGGCCGTTGGCTGAGACCACGGAGGACTTCTGGCGCATGTTGTGGGAGAACAACTCGACCATCGTGGTGATGCTGACCAAGCTGCGAGAGATGGGCCGGGTGAGCCTGAGGGGGCTGGCCTGGGGAGGCCAGCAGGGGAGGCCAGCCGGGGCTGCAACGGCACTGACCGCACCATTGTCTCCTCCACAGGAGAAGTGCCACCAGTACTGGCCAGCCGAGCGCTCCGCCCGCTACCAATACTTTGTGGTGGATCCGATGGCAGAGTACAACATGCCTCAGTACATCCTGCGAGAGTTCAAAGTCACGGACGCCCGGGTGAGTCGAGAGATGGATTGCCGGGAGGGGCTGGGGCCTGGCCTGGGCTCCACGGGCTGGCCCCTCGGTGACTCGGAGAAGACAGAGACCCGGGGTGGGAAGACGGGGAGTGGGTCGACCTGCCGGCCGCTCACGCCGACCGCCACGTAGAGGAGGAGAGGGTTGTGTCCCGCTGCTGACCCTGTAACGTCCCCGATGGGGCACGCATAACACCACTCGCCAGGGATTGTGGCCCGAGGGATTGCGTGAAGGGAAGGAACGGGGTTCCCCTGGAGGCCTCCTCCTGTGAAGGATGTGACGGGCGGGCCAGGAGGGAGAGGGACGGAGGGGGGC